CTCACGTTATACGGCCGATCCCGGCAGAGGCCGACCTGCAATTAAACGGTCGAGACGACCCACTTACCCACTAAACTCAAAGAGCCATCCCGCCGCACGGATGTTACCATCACATCATCGGAATCCTCTCTCATTGAGAGAGAACTCGCTGACACTGGCTACACGGCATTTCTCTCTTTTTCCATCTCCCTCTGCTCGCCGATTTCATCTTCTTCGTATTTTCGCGGTCGTGCGAGACTTTCTCTATGTAACGAGTACCGTTTTACTCTACGGATCGCGCCGTCTGAACGATGTACCGAGAGATGAGACGTGAATCAGGATTCTTCATATAAAACGTGCCACTATTAACCTTGCCGAATTAATCCACCGCTCTCCCCAATAGATAAATTTAACGTTTAACATATTATAGTGATATCTTAAAGTAAAATGACAGGTGTTAAAGGATATATGATCCAAAGATATATATTTTAAATTATGTACAAATATATATACACGGTATCCCAGACCATCGGTACACCCCTTTCAAAATGAAAATAAATGGCTTTTATCAAAAATCGCGAACAATTTTGAAATACATCGGGTACGCTCTATCAAATGGTGATATTTTCAATTTTTGATTCCGACCAGAAATACGTCATCTGGATCGGAAGTTGAATTTTTTTAGGGGAACATGATACTTTTTATTAGAGATTCGAATTGTACATGAAAAAATAAGAGACTTTTGTATCAAACGTTTTTTCTAAAAGTGTCTCTGTCAATCTTAAAATTGACCCTCATTATTTCATCACAGTTACCTTCAAGATCAATTTTTAGATTGACAGAGGCACTTTCAGAAAAAAACGTTTGACACAAAAGTTTCTTATTTTTTCACATACAATTCGAATCTGTAATAAAAAGTATATTCCCTATATTCCCCTAAAAAAATTTAACTTCCGATCCGGATGGCGTATTTCTGGTCGGAATCAAAAGTTGAAAATATCACCATCTGATAAAGCGTACCCGATTTACTTCAAAATTGTTCGCAATTTTTGATAAAAGCCATTTATTTTCAATTTAAAAGTGTACGGGTGGTCTAGGACACCCTGTGCATACATACACACATACACACACACAAAGACATCTCGTTTCCTCTCATATATATAAATATATTTAAGAGATATGATTTTCTTCCTTTCTTTCAAAATTTTATTTCTCGTAAGAGAAAAATATCTATTTTCATGATTGAAAACAGATTTTTCGTTCTCAATAACGCATAATATAATTGATATAGACAAACTAATTTTTCTTACTCTAAAGATTAAAAAATATTGAACGTATTTGCGAATTCTCATCTGATACAAAAGCGCAACGAAAATAAAATCAATAAAATGAATAAAAATTCAATAAATTTTTATTTTAAAATTTAACGAAAAATCCACGTGTATAATACTTTCACTTAAACAACGTAAGAAATATTTGTAGAAACTTAGATCGTTAACCTAGATTCTCTCGGTAAACAGTGCAATGTATTTTTGCGTAATCCTAATCATAAACAATATTGACATCGCTGACATGACATGATTGTGTTTAAATAACCGGGCATCCGGTTATGCAAAATCGGAGGTTCATTCGTTGCGGAATGTAACGAAGGTTGCTCGAGAGTGCAAATGACCGATGTCTTTCCGTTTTGACACCCACATCATGTACATATATATGTACGCGCGCGCGCTATGTAAAAGATAAAAACCGATGATAAAAACTGACCATTGTATGGCGTAAAAAGGTGAAGGGCCACGTAACGACATTGGGCAACCTTCAGTCGCGTATAGCCGTTACTCCAGTTTTCGCAGTCCGGGCATTGCAATTTCAATTACGCAAACGCAAAAACTCTCCGCTAGCCTTAGAACACCGCACAGGCCACTGAGGCGATGATCGAATCGCGGCTCGTTTATTTTTCTGGTCTACTTGCCACTTGTTCATCCCCCGTGTCCATTTTAAAACACGTATTAATTTATAAGCGTATTTCGATAACCACACGCATAGATAAAGATGTTACAATAAACAATGTATTCCCTGTTCGTATAATTGGATATGATTGTGTGACTTATTTAGGAAAAATCCTTGAAATAATCGTTTCTCTAATCACTTGTTATTTGAAATCCTTGATATAATTTACTAATGATTTAATGTTAATCGCACAAGCGATTATCCCAAGGAATTATTCTTTTTAAAACAATGAGATGATACATAATTGAAGATAACACAAAAGTTCGGGAAAGTATCGTTTTAATTTATCAGATGTATATTTTCTGGAACTTGGTTTTTTAAACAAATTTTAAATATTAAATCGAGATAATTTTAGAATATGTACAATAAATTTCTTACATATACACGAAAACGTTTTTCAAAGGATTCAATGCATTTTGCAGTTGCATCACGATTACGGAAACCATGAGTAATCAAATTGTGAGACTATCGTAGTTACGATCTTTTCTCCCTCGTGCAATTTTCTCTAAACTGTGTCTTCAAAAAATTGCAATACTTAATTCGCATGTCCGCCGAAAGTATCCGAGTTACATCATAAATACGGAAATCATAAGCAATCGACTGTTACGAATCACGAAGACGCAGTCGCGCTATTCTCGCGATTCCATTCCATTCGATTAGTCGATGTCACCCAACATGACGAAGTGGGAAAAAAATCAGCGAGAGTCTCCGAAAGATGATTACATGGAGTTCCCTAAATCGAGCGCGGAAGTGAAAATCGATTGCGAAAATGATTTAGGCGATTACGATCTCTTACGAGAACAGACTGTCTCCTTTGTCGCGTTATACAAATTGGTTGTCATGCGCGAAAATTCGCACGACTCATGTATAATAATCTAATACAAATCGTCTACGGGAATGTAATCTAATGACCATACGGTAAAACGGTATTGATGCACGGTAAGATATAAACTTTTTTCGCGATGAATGACGAGAAAGTGTTATTCGTGAATTAGTGCTGTTCATCGGCAACATTTACGACTAATAATTTGCTAAACATTTACGAATAATAACAACAAGCTCTAAATCTCGAAAAGTGCATTACGTGACATGGCAGCGACAGAGTGCTGAACATGCGACGCACATCCTCAATTATTATGCACAACATGATTATCCTGCAATTACGCAAAAAACTTATCGGAAAAGGTCAAATATTCATAAACACGATTATGTATGTATATATAATAAAAAATATGAAGAAAGATGTAGCGATGATATTCGGAAAAAATTTATTCTTTTTATGTTATTGATTTTTTTATCTTCTTATCTTCATATATTGCAGATTCACGTGTGGAATGTAATTATAAAATATGTACATTAGATAAATATTTAGTTCGTTAAAAATACAGAAATAATTAATTTAGATTAAAAATATATACTTTTAATGTAAATTAATTATTTCTGTATTTAAAAAATATATATTTTTAATGTAAATTAATTATTTCTATATTTCCAACGAATTAAATATTTATTATTGTATATATATAATATTTGTATTCGCAATCCTGACATCATTGCACTCGCTCATAGGGACAAAGATACAGTGATTTATTCGTGTGCAAAACAAGACAAAGAAAAAATACGAGGTGATTAATGGAGACGATAAAAACTAAAGAGGGAGGGAAGGAAAGGAGACCGGTTGACATCCGTACATAAAGTCACAGCGAAAGCGTGGCATGATGACTTCGCGATAACGCGAGAATTCTTAATGATGTCCTCGACGAATTCCCTAAGCCATTGCGTTCATACAGGCTAGATTCGCTTCGATCGATGGTTAGGATTATATGTATAATTGCGCATCAACGTGAGCGGAAAGAATTATTCGCGAATCTCGATTGCGAAATTGCATCGTTTGAGAGAATGCAATTTAGTCAGTCCATGATGCACAATAAATGTATATGCATAGAAAGAAGACATATTCGTGAAAAAAATAAATAAATAAATATTAATTTTCTTAAATAAAATTAAAATTTATTAGAATATTAATAATTTTAATTTAAACTAAAACACACATATAATAAAATTTAATTTATTTAAAAATTAATATTTATTTTTTTATGAAAATGTTTTTTTCTTTTAAAAATATTTTATTAATTTTTCATTTCAGAATTCATTATTTTACATCAAAAATAACAATTTTTTTTACTTCTAACAAATTTCAATTTATTCAATTTTTTTAATAATTTATAAAGTGTACGATTTGCTCGATCAGAGATATTAACTGTAGATGATCTGATAAAATTGAATGCCTTACTCAATAAAAATTGCAAATATCGAAATCTGATTCAAACAATCAATTCAAATGAATCTGATTGTAGCTCAGAGCGCAACTAAGCGCAACCTACGCAAATACATATATCCGACAATGAATCGAATCAAGCCAATATTTATTAATGATATGCAGAGAATTGAAAATTTACAAATCTTTATTATCCTTCTATCATTAAAGAAATGGTTTATTGTTCTTTCACATTCTTTGTAAAAAATATTGATGATTTTAGCATATATGTCTTAATAATATTCGGAAAAAAAATATATTTCTCTCGCGTTTGCATCTGTATCATTCACAAATTAAAGTATTTTTCCCTCGTCACTCAATCTGATAAATCAGCATTTTGCGCACATATTGCACATATTATTTACTCTATGTATTATAAATCAAAATATTCTGAAATTATTTAACATAATAATTTTTATAAAATTTCTGATTATATTTAAAAATTATGATTTGATGAGTAATGTGAAATTTTGGGAAAAATTAAAATTAAAATTAAAATTTAATTAAATAAAGTTTATTTTTAACAATCAATAAAATTTAAATTTAATTAAATAAAGTTTATTTTTAAATTTAATTAAATAAAGTTTATTACTTAAATTTAATTAAATTTTAAATTTAAATTTTAAATTTAATTAAATTTAAATTTAATTAAATAAAGTTTATTTTTAACAATCAGTTTTCATAATCTTTTTTCTAGAAATGGCATCGGCGGCAGCGGAGTTAGTAGCGGAAAGGGAGCCGGAGCTCATTCTCGAGATGACGGACTCAAACAGAACCTTCGTAGGCGCCCAGGGCTTGGTTAAGATGGCCTTAGATCAATACACGGAAATTCTCGCGACAATCTCGGATCCTCGTGTCGGTGACTGGCCACTGATGGACTCGCCTGTACCAACAGTTCTCATTGTACTCCTTTATATGTATGGCGTTGTCATATTCGGCCCGCGTATGATGGCCAACAGAAAGCCGTATAAACTCAGAAATGTCCTGGTAGCGTACAACGCATTTCAAGTTGTCTTCTCACTAGGAATGATGTACGAGGTAATTGAATTTTTTATAACTTTCTATTATGATTAATCGAGGATATGATAACATTAATTTCATCTTTTTAAGAAAGTAAAATAAATTTATGATTCCTCATCAATATAAAACCAACATATGTATGTGTTGTTTCCAAATAATAATAAATGTATAATAAATTCAAAAAATGACATATTTAGTCTCATCTAAAAAATCTATAATATTAATAATCCCGATAAAATTTTTTAAATATCTTATATGATTCAAAATCTATATATTTTACATAAAAAATTAAATATCTTGCAATGTTAAAAATCGAAAATAGATACTATTAAGAGACTAACAAAGATTTTTTTTATTTACGCTTTAACGTTTTAAAAAATTGAAAATTTTTAAATAAATATATAAAGCAAAATATATGTATTGTACGTAAAAAAATGTTGAAGAAGATACAATTAAGTTATTAGGTAAACTAATACAAACTGATTATTGAGAGAATCATGAAAGTAGAATCTCGATAAAGAGGCACACGAGCTAGAAATCGTATAATTTGTGATCATACTACCTTTAGGCGGAAAAATATGTTCACGAGGAAGAGAATAACAAAAGATAAGAAGAAAAGGAGAGAGTACGTGCATGCGAGTGACTAAAAAAGAGAGAGAAAGAGAGAGCTCGATATGACCTTGTCCAAGTCACCCTTGACATTCACGTCTTCTTATAGCCATCATTAGATCCTTGCTATACAGGAAAACACATACACGACGCACAAAGTTCACGAACGCTAACGATCCGTCAGGATCTAAAGACTCGGCAATCGAAGCCAGTCAAGCAACTTCTGCCTCGTTATATAGGTCACGATATAAGTATGCCATCGGTATAGTACGTATTCGCGAGATCGAAAAGGATTGAATCGCTAGTCGCGGAGATGACGATGAATCGAAGCGAACAGTATACGAATTCGCAAGATTGCTACGGTTAATAAAGTGTGACGGTGAAAGGAGATGCTGAATAATCGCGTAATCATTGACAAAGAGAGAAAGAGAGAGATCGAGAAAGAAACTTCGACCTAGAACTTCAATTATGCTGCGCGAAAAGTCTATGTAACACGCGACAACCAAATGCGATAATTCCCATAAGATACGTATTATAATTACGTATTGTAATTAAACGTCATCCGATCTTAATTAGATATGTTGTACAGTATTTAATCAATCGTAATACGTACAATAAATAAGCGACTTATATCACTATTATCGCGACGCTCACATAAATCACTGTACGCTCAAAATTCGCTAAAAAATAATGTGGTGACCAGATCAGAAAAAAACGTGAATTAATCAAAATGAAACGAGTCAAATGACCAGAGACAGGAATATAAATTTTGTACAATATTCTCAATTAATTTTCACTAAGCGAAAATGAATAAGAAATGAAGAGCAAGATTTAAAAAATAAAATATAAAATTTGACTCTTTGATTCTACCATGTTTTAAAAACAATAAATTAAAAAACAAATTATATAAGAAAATTTATATTTTAATCAATTTTTCAATTATTTTGAATTAGATTTAATGATCTTAATTAATTTTAATCGTTAAAAGTTTTATTTTCTTTCATAATAATATTTAATATAGTTTAATACAATGATTTTTAAAGCACATAAATTATAGATTTTCTAAATTAATAATCATAGATATTAAAAACGATAATAATTATAAATATGAAAGATTATACATTCATTTTCTTAATGTTATCAATATTAATATTTCCATAAAAATGCACTTATTATTGTAAGAAATTATATAATCTTTTAAAATAAATTTTTAAAGTATGCATAAATCAATAAGAACAAATGAGTATTTAAGAATTATTAAAAAAACTCATCATAAATAGAAATTATTAAACATATTTTAACTGAGTTCCATTCATTCCTCGAGAGTTTATATATTTAATTTGATTTCAAACAGACAGCAGTATAAGCTTATTATAATTTCAAAGCGAAGTTTCAATAAAAATTCTAATAACAACTAAAATTTTAAATCAAAAGTTGTAAATTTCAATTAATTAAGAAAATTTTAAATTTCTGATAAAAATTTTTAATACAGATATACAGTCTCTCCAATCAATATCATTTCCAATTCGCGCATTTATTTCGGATTCGAGAAATATATTTAAAAAATGTAACTATTATGTGTAACTATAATAATTTCAACATTTTGAAATTTCCAATAATGTAAACATAGAAATAAGAAATTATATTCCTTATAAATTTTGAAAAATTTCATTTTCTCGTAAGCTATTAATTGGATATAGCGCATTAAAAGTTCTGCTCGTAAATTTAGTGGTAAAATTGCTCAATAAAGAATTTACAATTTTAGAAACAGAGATTACATTTCTCCTTCTTTGATAGTAACCTTGACCTACTGATTACCGCATAACTAGGCGTGGTCAATATCTTTATTTAGCAACCTTGTTCTGAACAAGGTTATCAAATACGAAGCATCCGCTTTGTAATAATGTAATTAAAATATTAATTTCGCAACTCTCTTGTCTTTCCCCATTTATTAATCGTCTATTTCTCAAATGGAAAGATATTAATCAGGAACTAATTTATATTTTGTAGTTATATCATTTTTATTATCATATTTTTAGCTAACATATTTTAACAGATTTCTTCTGTAAATATAATAGAAATATGGCTCTTATCTTTTTAATATTTTCGCAAATTTCACATATCGATACAATGCAATTTTACATGAATTATTAATTGCATGCATTTTTATTGCAATCCTTAGAGATAAAAAGACTTAAAATATATAAATATTCACAAAATTTCGTGTAAATTTTTACGTCGACAGCACTAAATACTTTTTGTTAAAATTGTACTTAACATTTTATTTAACTATTGTATTTGTAGTAAATGCAAAATATATACGTACGCATATTAATATTACATATTAATATTACAATATTTGAAAATGTTCTTTCTTTTCGTATCATCTATATATCGATCTCAAAGGTGACAAGAAATATGCATAAAGAGGTATAGTATTTCATAGCGACTACAATGTTGCTTAATCGGTTTATGCACTCGTACGCATTTCGTTAGCAACGAGACGTCCGGTTTTCGACTTTCCAGTGCTTTCCTTTTCGACTTTAAAGTGCTAAACCTCATTCACTACTCCCACGGTGCACGAAAATACAAAGTAAAATTTCGTGTGGAAGAACAAGAAACAACAAGAGACGATTTTTCATGCGCAATAGAATGGATAATAAACGGTTGCAACTACGCGAAAGTTTATTTTACAGAAGCAAGTAACCGCAGTAACTGCCGTTTCTGTTAGAGAGTCAATCGGAATAGCTTTTTATGTACGAGATGGAATAACTTTTCAAGATATTTCTATTCGTTCAGCTATGTAAATTTTAGTTTATTCGACACTTATAATCTTTTAACAACTATTCTTTTTATATTATTTACTAAGTAAAATAATACACGTGAGTCATTGTCAAGATTACATGAGGCTTACATAAACAGTTTTAGAATAAAACTGTTTATTTTATATAAATATATAAATTATAAATTTTATATATTTATATACTTTCTAAAAATAAAAATATTTAAAAAAAATTTTTTTTCTCATCAAATATTTCGTAAAATTTTCTCACGCATATTGCTTAAACCGTTTAAAATAACAAAATATAATAAACTAAATAAAAAGTTATTATAAAAAAGAAGATACATATCAGTAGGAGAAAAATGTATTTATGTAGGAGAAAAATAGATTTATTATGCAAATGTTAAGCAGATAAAATATGCAAAAATATGCGAAACGGAACATGTCGGCCTTAAAACACATAGTTTCTCCTGAAACTATTTTATGCTTAGTCACTTACTATATGAAAGCTAATAATGTGCAATCTTCACGATAAACATTTATAACTGAATCTAGAACAACACACACAAATCAATGAAATAATAATATATTTACTCAGAACGCAATTAGCAATTAAATGTAGCGATTACATATATCTGTCTAAAGAGAATATAAAGAATTTTTTTTAGTATTTTTTATAAAATATATCTATTTAATCTAAAATAATAAATTTTATTACATTATTATTTTTCAATTATACTGATTCTGCAAGGCATATTTAATTTTATTATTTATAGAAAGTAGAATTATACTAACTCTCTGTTTTGCGCGATCCAATATGGTGAAATACAACAAATGTTTGCTCAAACCGATAGTATACAAAATTATATTTCATCAACTTATGTTGAAGTTCTTATACGTAAACAGTTCTTATAAATATCGAAATGAATGAATTGAGACATCAATTATTTTTAATTGACCTATGAGGTCACTAAAGAATCAAAATTGTTTTATTGGAACTAATTGATATTGAGTGACATCTAATTAGATGTTTTTTGTTTTTTTATAGCACTTGATGTCCGGATGGTTACTTGACTACAGTTACAAGTGTCAACCGGTTGACTATTCCCACAATCCATCCGCTCTGAGGATGGCAAACCTCTGTTGGTGGTACTTCATCAGCAAATTTACGGAATTCGCTGACACGGTATGACTCACTTTCATACATTCGTGTGACATATATAATAATAATAATAATTAAAAGGTCAAATCAGCAAATTTAAAGAGAAATTTCTTTGGACTTTAAGAAAAAATTAAAAACAAACTAACAAAATTAAAAAATATATATATATATATATAGATGTATATTATTAATAAAATCAATATATAATCAGGTACGATTAAACAAAATGTTATAATATATTAAAATAAACACAATATGAAGAAAGTATTACGTAGATTTTTAAATGATAAGAATCACGCGCAAAAAGTCATATAAACATTTGATAATTTCCTTTGAAATGGTGTTACATTCAAAACGTTAAAACAAGAAACAAAATTATCGTATCGAGACGCACTTTCTAGATTTAGAATATATCTATTAATAAAATATTTTTAGTATATATCTTAAAACAGTACTTTTTCTTTATAATAAATAAAAAATGAATAACATGCAATTATAAATGTATCTTTATGACATAAACTAGAGATCTATACTCCAACTTATTCACTTCGGACAGAAACAAAAATATTCAATATATCACGTTATATATTCAATAATATTTTTATATACTGTGTTATTCACATTATTTTTAATGAAAATGTCGTCACATGATCAATTTTTTAAACAATTTACAAACTTCATTATTTGACATTTTAATGAACAAGAAAATTATATAAATCCAAATTATATTAAATTATAAATTATAATTAATAATTATTAGTTATAAATTATAAATGTACAAACTAAAAGAAAAAGACTCTATTATCTATTTGCACTTTCAAAATTTATTTTTTTGCAAAATTTCTCTCTCTTTCTCTCTCTCTCTCTTTCGTTTTTTCTTTTTCTCTTTTTCTCTATCAAATTATGCTATCGATTAAAAAAAAAATTATTACCTATTTTTTATTTCATCACACACGATCTAGTGAACCCTGTACTTGCGACAGATATGTATATGCATAAGAAATATAGATCCTGAGTAAAGAAAGAGGCGAAGTATATATGGTTAGCTTATTTCACGAAAATCGGATAATCACGTACATATATGCTCGTATATCCCTTCTCTCGATGCAATAACCCTTAAGCAATCGTTTCCATTAGCGCGAGCGAGCTGCGCGGGCAGCACCGAATTACTTGTCGAGCACGCAATCATGCTGGCGGATAAAAGGAGCAGATAAGATTTAATCAGGCGATCGCTGATTTGTTAGACTCTGACCGAAGGAACCAACAATTCGCGAAGTGGATGTTAGCTTACCTATCTACCCTTGCAAGAGAGAAAGTGCCTGTTAGTCTTTCAACAGCATGCGTACGAAACCCAACCGAACATAGGAATCATCGCAAAACAGATTCTTTTATTGTTCATTGCTCAATTTTAATAACGATGTATGTTGCCACTATTAAGATATTTTCGAAAAGATATACGGTATAAGAGCTTAATTTGCCAAATTATTACAACAGTGAAAAATATTATCCACTATAAATATACTTTATATTAAATAATTATATTAAATATGATTAGATTATTTATATTAAATAATTAATAATTTTTTATTTATTTTTTCATGTTGAAAAATATGACTTGAAATATATGTATATATAAATATATGATATAATACGAAGATATATTTTCATAATTTATGACAATGTAGTCTAAAGAAAAGCAATTCCTTAAACTCATTCCTATCGGAACTGAATTTTACATAGTTTAACAATCAATTATTTTCTATCTATTTAAAACGTGAGTCAGCGAATCTAGACCTAAGCTGAATAACAGGAAATTATGACCTCAGAAAATGTCGTAACGTTACTCGTTGAAATTTCAGATATTCTTCGTATTACGCAAGAAGGACAGCCAGGTGACATTCCTGCATTTGTATCATCATTCTCTCACACCTCTAGAGACGTGGATATGTGTGAAATTTATCGCGGGCGGTCATGGTACTTTGGGTAATCTTATTAATAACGCAGTACATGTGATCATGTATGCGTATTACATGTTAGCAGCCATGGGCCCGGAATATCAAAAGTACTTATGGTGGAAGAAGCACTTGACCACAGTACAACTGGTAAGTAAGCGAATCTAATTAAATTACACATTCTTTTGTAAATGTTCATATGTTGTTTCAAAAACGGAATTAAAATTAAATCAAGTCGAAATACATGTAATATTTTTTAAGTGGCATATTAAGGTAGAATTTAAAATCATAAAATTAACAACAATGCAAAAATTTTTATCTGTAATTATATAATTAAAAACGCAGTATAAAATTATAGAAGAAATAAACTTCCGAATTATAGATCATGTTTAATACATAAATTATATATTTCATAAATAAGTTATTTGTTTAAAAAATGGTTTCTTCAGAGCTCTCAGTCACTGTTACCATAAATGAATCTTATTATGCGTTCTCCGGGGATAGATTTTTCCTCTCCCTTTCAAGCACAGTGTATGCAATGTATAATTTACAATGTACAATTCGATTTAATGCCTATCGGTGATTTACAAACACAAGAATGCTGAGCGAAATTCTGGGCGAGTATGATATAGTAAAAATGCACACATGATTCAATATTTCAAATGCGATTGTTGTACGGTATTAAGCGATTTTCTCAATGAATCAAACCGATTCGTGATACCTTCTTCTTGCTCAACACAAGTTTCGCGATAATAATTCGAGTCGTTGAAAGTGAACGGATAGAAGCACTACTGACCCGTTGCCTTAAAGATTTAAAGGGTGTGCATCGGTAACACGCAAAATATGCTAATTGTCCGTTAAGACACGTAGCGTATTTGCTTTTCTCCTGTAAGTCCGCTTGTCAATACAATACCTGCCTTTTTCATCGCTAAGAATGTTAAAATCAACGGTTTTTTAAATAAAAATTAATGAATATTAATTCCGGAATAATATAAAAAGAAATAAATGTATGATTATTTTAATAAAAGTAACGTTCTTTTTTTAAACAAAGAGAAAGAGAAAAAATAGGAAATTTTAGTAACTGTCTAAAATTGTCCTCGCTTCGCGCCAGTAACTAAAGTCTACGATAGAACGTACTTTTCATTGCCCGTTTTTTTTGCGTGCCACTTTACTGGTTGCGGTTTAGGATCCAAAACTGGTCTCGCAACATTCGGCGTTTTCCGTTACAATAATCGTAGCGATTTTAAATCAATCGTTTCGGGACATTAAATTCGTACAAAAATTCTAATGAATACTATACTCGAATTTGCATTTACAATTTGCATTTACAAAAAACTTATAACGAGACATGTTTTTTGCGTAAAATTAAAATAAATTGTACGAAAATAGCATATTCATGAATGTAACGTATTTTTAAACAAAAAATGTGATTCTGATTATAAACGTATGGAAACGACGTAAGACTATTAAGATTTTATTATAATTCCTTTTTTATTCGTTAATCCGTTAAATCAAGTTCAACACTGCTAAAATTTTTTTACTGTACCGATACACTCTCAAAACATACAGGGAGTATATTTTCTCAAGTATCTATCTCTGCCTTTTTTTTCTCTCTCCGCCCATATTTAATAGAGATATATTCATGACTTAAGAAGATTCTTTTAATATTCTCAAGCTTTTGCACATCATGGCAAAATTGATTCGTTCCCATCGACGATATCTTTTCAAATCGAGAAATATGAAATACCTAAGATTGATTTTAATACTGGGAAGAGGACAAATTTTTGACAAGGTATAAACGCCTTCGCGACACCTTCCCCTCTCTCGCCGGATATATAATACGTTGCTCGAACGAACTCGCCATCGCGTTCGCGGATTCTGGGCCATCGGCCTATACATTCGTGCTCGTTAGAGATTAGTCGGTCTCTACCCAGGCAAAATTTCATACGTCGTATGTGCACATGAAAGGTAGGGGTGAGGGAAAGTGAAAAGTACAACGCGCGTTGGGCAATTCGACTTGACTAGACCTCGCTTTAAAGCCGGCCATCGGACCCGGCCAACCACGCTGGCGGTGGCGCAACAATTTGGCATTCCGATATGTCGTACTGTGGCACACTGTCTTGTACCACCACCATTGCCCTACCCCGACACCATCATCATCATCACCGCCGCGTTGTCGTTGTCATTGTCGTCGTCGTCGTCATCGTTGTCAACGTCGTCGCTGCAACCGGCAGCATATCGCGAAAGGTACCGCGAACCGGCTGCATACCTATGAAGCCTCACCTAAATACTTACTTATCCCGGCTTACCTCGCAAGACCCTCGATCCGCTACATGCCAGGTATAGGCACAGGTGTATTCGCTTCTGTTCGCCTTTTTCCCCACCCCCGAGAAGTTCCATCTCGCGAAAAAACGTACGGATAGATAAGGATATAACCAGCCACCATTTGTAAAAAAGAATTTCATCGATGACGAAATTAAATCGAATGGTAGATAAATAGCACGGGTGTGTTTTATTACGGACGGTAATTGCTAAATCAATTATTGCGACTATAGAGAACTTGAAAAAGTATGTAATTGTTCAAGTAAATAGTAATTGAAAAATATTCGATGATAAGAAGAAATTCGAGAGATATAATAGAAACATATACATATGATTTAATTATTATTTAATAATTAATGAGCACTTTTATTTGCAACATTTTAAAGTCAATCTCATAAAGAATTAAAGATTAGATTACAGTAATAGAAAATATTTTCACAACCTTCTTAATAAATAAATTTAATAGCAAGATGCCTGACATTTAAGTAAGTAAAAATGAAAGAAGAGGTTTTAGCAAGTTTTATCTAAGAGATTCTACACGTACGAAATATCAATTGTAAATGTTAATTTATATATTGCACGATATACTAATATGTACATAAATTATAGAAAATTTTATAATGATATAAGTTACTTCAATATCAGTTGAAATTAAATGATCTCGCATATTTTTGTTCCTGATTAAATATTAGATTATTACAACAAAGAGATCTTTTCTCTCGAATTGATAATAATCAAATGAGGCATTTGACATTTAAATACGAACAGAAATGAAAGAGCTTTACAAAAGTTACAATTCAAAAAATCCTACACGCATTTCATAAGATGCAAATGCAAATATCAAATTATCACGATATGAAAATAATTTTCTCAGTTAATTCTGATTATATCCTAATTATATTTATTTTCTGGCTATATCTTTGATTTAATTTAATTAACAACATCTTCTAACATATTTTTTTAATTAATGAAACTATTAAAATGTTCAAAATATAAGTTTCTTAGAAGTAGCATTTGCTCATGAAATATAATCATTCGTTCGCAATTGTTTTATATACTTTAAGCAGAAGAACGGATTAGAATAGATTGATATACCGAAAGTATATCTCGATAATAAAGCATGGCAAGTTTTTACCAAATGAACACGCGATAAATTTAGCTATCGGCTCGCGAAAACTCGGCCACACACATACATCTATATATACTTTCTATAAATCGGTTAACAGTGTCTGACTTTATGTATGATGATTCGCCCTATTGAATGGACTTTTTTTTGTACAAGCCCTCAAAAACAATTTATGAGAAACATCAGTAGGTAAACTTTAAAAAGTTTTTGCCCGTACTACTGTTGTTTCATTCACGAATCGGCCTCTCGATCGTTAAGAGAACGAACATGTGGTAAGCAATGGATTTATGAGCAGTTATTGCTACATAATGTATATTGGCGCATTTTCTTCGAATTGCTTGATGAAGTCAATCGTGTTGAGCGAACTAATCGCAATACGCAACACGACTGTGCAAGAGGCTCGAGAAAAAGATCTTTGTATAGAAGATATAATATATATATGGCTTATGAAATATGACGAAATCAAGAGTATTAAACCAAGTAGAAGTACAAGATAGTACAAGATAATATATAAAAAAGACGTAAATTTATGTTAATTATCTTGCCAATTATAAGTTTTGTATATTCGAAGCTAAAATTCCCATACTTCTAAGTTTCCGTTATTAGCTATAAATTATATTCTTTTTCTTTACTCACCAAAGTTGTTCATGATTTATGGTGTCCGGCTATATCGCTATTTGCATTAATTTTCAGGTACAGTTCTTCGTGGTATTCGTGCACAGCGCGCAGGCCTTCATTTTTGACTGCGGTTATCCGAAACTGGTAGCGGGTCTTCTTCTACTTCACTCGTTGATCTTTATCGTGCTCTTCTCTGACTTTTATAGGACTGCTTATCGTAGAGGAAAATCTGCGAAGAAACTTAAGGCTGAATAGAATACATGAAGAACATATGGAAGAAAAAAAAATCTTCGTTCTTATGTGTTGGACAGAATATGCGTACACATACACACATGTCACGAATTCGTTCAAATATAGCTCCCTTCTACATCAGTGAATCAACTTCCAAAACCTGTCTCTGTATATCGACGAATAAGTGTGTGTGTGTATATATATATATATATATATATATATATATATATATATATATATAATATTCAGAATATGCAGTTGTGCAAAAGGAAACTTCAAATATACGCAATAGGAAAAATATCATAATTCTTAATGTATTAAAAAAAAATGGTGAAATTTTATATATATGTGTATATATATAAAAAAGGAAAGAGAAAGAGAAAGACAGATGTCAGATGAGATGAGTAAAAAATCCATTGCCACCACTTTCACGTCAACACACTTTCATATTTATAAAATTTTCCCGTATATATAAAATAATTCTACTTATTATTTTATATATATATATAAAATTTTTTATGTATATTATATGTGTGTAATATGTATATATATATATATATATATATATATATATATATATATATATAATAGATAGAGATGTATAGATGTTTAAATATAACAATTATAAAGTTGCAAGTAATGAAAAAACTTAATGATGACAAGAAAAACTGATAAGTAAAGAAGAAGAAGATGATCAGTCGGCCAATGGGTTAATACTTGTATCAATCTCTCGCATCTTCTTATATCCATTTGTAAAAACAATATACAGTGAGAAATCTAGGATGACATAGGAAAGAGTGCATTAGAAACCTCCTTTTTATTCGTTAATGCGACTATTTCGGTCGCATTTGCACAGACATAAATCGTATTAGCTTCCGATACAACTTTCTGGTAAGACGATCGAGGTCAAACATTTCACTAGTTGCGAAGCAGTAGAAATTGCTTCTCTAAAGAAGAAGATTCTTATTCGTTATACCTATCGTGTCCTTCGCAGAACATCCCAAATCTCGCGCACACTTTGGACCGGCATTTCTATCAATTTCAAAAATATCATCTTTATCATTCTTTAATTGGCGTTCAACATTTATTTTTATATTGTTTGTATATAATTTACTATTTTACTATTTTTATGTTGTTTAAAAACATTCAACAAGTTAAAATAAATCTACATAAAATAAAGTCTAGAAAAAATTTTGAAGTTAAAAATTTAATAAAATGTAAAGAGAGCAACATTAAAAACGAAATGAAACAATAATAAAGCGGAAATGTGAAATTACATTGATTACAGGTATAATTCAAGGATACGCTTTGTCATATTAGAATTATCTATCTTGAAAATTATGCGTATCTCAGAAGCTCGGAATCATCGTCAAGCATGCCTTAGTGTCCTTAGTGTGTGTCGTAACTCTTTTATCATTTCATAAAAATTACTATGTTTCATCGTGTAAGTAGAATTATTGTAAATATAAAAGTAGTTATTATTATGCGTGCGCTTGGAGTCTTGTCATCTCCAACTAAATAATTACAAAATGATTGATTCCGATGGATCTATTTAAAAATATTATTCACATAAGTTGTAAAATGCACGTTTATAATATTATCGCGAGCACTTTTCATTCGTGTTTTTTTCTTTATGAATTTTAATTTTATGTCAAAAAATCCCTTGCACAACTTGAATCTTTTTTATATAAAATCTTTATACCAAACAATTGCTCAATATAATATCGTCATATTGCATCGATTTATTACATAGTGAGAAAAGTTTTTGTTAAATTAGTTAAAGAATATTTCGTAGAAATCCGTAAATATCGATCTATTTATTATCGCAAGATATTTTGTAAATATTCAAGCTCAAATATATCTGCCATTACAAATTAATGTACCTGTCAATTATCCAAATACTTATTGATAAAGATTAAAATAAGTATAACATATAATCATATGATTCAAAAAGCAATCAACGCAATATATTAAATTAAAAATGTGAAACTATTTTATACACAATATATATATTGTTTGGTATAATTTTTATAATAAATAATTGTAAAATCGATTAATACTATATGCGTAAATTGAAGAAAGATATATAGAATTTAATAAGTTTATATTTCTATTATGTTCAAAATATAAAATCAAGACACGCTATCACAAGATTTCGCGATATCGCAATGCGGGTTACGCGAAATCTTGTGATAGCATGTCTTAATTTTATATTTTGAACATAATACAAATATTTATTATAAGCAGTCATTGCAAAACATTGAATACGCGAATGGAATTACACATCGTGCACTTGCAATAAATTCCGTTTACATGATTCTCGTCTGAAAAACTGATGATTAACTTGTAAAGAATGGAGCTTATAGTTGATCGAAATTGTTCACGTATACACATAGCGAAAGAAAATCTAGTTTACTATGTTTTATTGCTCCTTCTGTCAAACTCACCATTCCGTGAGGTACAGAGAGAGATGCGATATAGAGGGTATATTTGTTATTTCAGGTAATTCAATGTATAAAGAAGAAACCCCAGGCGATCTTACGCTACGTAATATATTTCACCACTGTCATTACTATGCTTCTACAGAATATTAAGCGAGACGCGAGATGAATACCGCGACGAAGAGAGATTAGAACCGGAGCGAATATACACGGCCCGATGCCGTCGAAGAGGACCCGCGGAGTTGCACGTTCGCGGCGCTTTCCGTACTTTATCGATTGCCTCGATAAAGCTGCGCGACTATAAAGGGCGCCGAGAGCGCGCATCCTGCCTATAGCGATCGTCGCGAATGTCGACACACACACTCAAGGGGTTTAACAATTGTAATTAATGAGATAAGTTATTAAGTCTCGAGACGCGAGACTCTAATTTTACCTCCAATCTTAGGATTACCGCTCACTTGCGTATGACTTGTGCGCTGACTTGTACATATTGTATCTTTCTTTTTTTTGTAACAATAAATAAAATATTATCTATAGATTCTACGTTCGTGTAAATCAATTATCCTCCCTGCTACATAAAAAAGAAGTTATTGTATACATTTCAGAATAATTAGCTATGAAAATATTGATTTCTTGCCAAATATTTTCGAAATTATGTATCAAAAAATGCGTCATAGAAATAATAGCATCGTTAGTTCACAAGAAATAATTAAAGTTATTTCAAACATAATGTACCATGTCATATTTTTCAAAAAAATCAAAATAATTTTTTATGTAAATCTGATATCAATCTTCTTAAATTATGTATATTGAACGTCTTATAAAGTGAAAAATCTATCATTATATATTTTATTGATATAATTTATATACAAGGTGGACACAACACCTTCGTGCATCCTAAATTACTGACGACAACAATCAAAATTCATCAAAGCTCTATACAAGATTTTCACGCTGCGGCTGCTTGTTCTATCCTTTTTTGTCTCTCGAGCAAACGGCGTTCTCTTTCATATTCCTTCATTCTTAGAACATAACTAGAAAATTTATCATAATATATCTTGATATTTTTATATTTATATATTTTTATTATAATTATTACTTACTCCTCGACATAGCATTCATAATACTCATGTCTTTTGTGTGCACACTTTATCATGAAGGGATAATGAATTCTCTTACAGTCGTGTAACTCCAAATATTTATGGGCACAATAATCACGTTGCTTAAGTGGTATTCGTGCAGCTATCATATCTTCTTCTGATACTTTCATCTCTGTAAATCCAACACACTAAGCAAAATTTAAATACAGCATACATCTTCTAAATAAACATGATCATAAAAATCATTAGATATTAACATATAATTCTTTAGATAAACATCATAGATTTATACTCAAAATTTAATACATCATAATTTTTCAAATTTTTCTTTTTGATAAAGCAGTAAAACATTGCGGTACATTATAAATCAGCCAAATAAAATAATTATTACCTAATTTAATCAGATATAATTGCAATAAAGTAAAAAACACAATAATGTTAGAATTTATAACTCGTTTTCTATACGCGATGAAAACAATATAGACATTTAAATTATACTCCTCATAGCAAAATTACATATATTGCCAATATACATTTCTCATTGTAAATAAGCCAAATAAAACAGTTATTGCCTAATTTAATCAGATATAATTGCAATAAAATAAAAAGCACAATAATGTTAGAATTTATAACTCGTTTTCTATATGCGAAGAAAACAATATAGATATTCAAATTATACTCTTCATAGCAAAATTACCTAATATATTGCCAATATGCATTTAAATGTAATAGCAGATGTAAAGCAACAATATATGAAATCGGAGTAAAATCATTATTATATCACAACTTCTGTTTGTGACAGGAAATTATAAAATAATTATAAAATAATTTAATGACGAATGCGACGTAGTATATATATATATATATATATATATATATATATATATATAAATTTCGATATGTAAATTTTATATCTTCAAGTCATTTAATCAAATAACAATAGGATACTATTTAATGAAAGTACTTACGCATACGAGGTTAAGTGAGGTTCGAATGACAATACTTGCCTCTGGGTTTCCGACCGTTTGAAAATCCAAACATTGGATCAAATGTTGGTGGTCCACTGGAATTGGGCATTGTTTCAGGATGTGTTATGTAAGTAGCAATGTAATTACCCATTTCTCTTTAAATTACATTCAACGGAGCATCTGATCAAAGACTTAAAGGACACTGTTACGTACCGCAACGACATCTATTGATTTGACTTATGTAACATTGAACATCGCTCGAATATTAAATTGCTTCGAATAATAATAATAATTTATATCATTATGTGCGATAAATTAAAAGTTCAACACAACCGTATATTTTGATAATATGTGAACTCAAATTCTCGTTACCATTGATCTTGTGCATTTCCAGCATTGATAAATTGAAAAATTTTTCATAAACTACAAGATTTTAGGAAAATATGCAAAAATAAATATAACGAATCTTCAATTATTTATCGAGTCAAATTTGCTCAAAGTACGCTCCTGAATTTTTGTCTCGTTAATTCAAAAGTTTATATAAAGTATAGTGCATATAAAGTATAATATAAAAGTATATATAATATAATATATAAATATTTATATAAAGTATAATATAGGAGATTCAATAATAAGATGAATTTCTTGAAGAAACTTTTTATTCGGATCTCACTGAAATAAACATATCGATATATTAAAATTATTATTTACATGTAATAAGGAACAATATCAAAAATCGCTTCAAGGCTATATTCTTAATATTTTCATCTTTATTTATATCAAGAAAATCAATATGTATATGTATCAATTTGTAATATTAAAAAAAAATAATATCTGTGTAGTACAATTTCTTATCAGCATCATATATATTGTATCGCGTCCTATATTATCGCATCAGATACTTACAATGTGAGGTCCCTTCATGTTTTTCAGGCTTACATTATAAATATAACATAGAAAGCTAGTTACTCAATCATCATCCTCTTCCATAGGTTCCACAGTTCCGCTCCCTAAATTATCATATGAAAAACATCATTATATGTACAATATGTATAGAAAATGTATAAAATTATACTTTAAAACTTATATTTATCTCGTTATATTATTTTTAATATTTATAAGTGCAAAATTTATGTTTAAAATGTTAAAAAAAATGGAAATACTATGCAATGCAAAACTTTCAAACTCACATACCATTTTGCATTCGTTCTTCTCCTGGAATATGACCAGATTGCAGGAATTTACTAAGCCTTTGTACCTCTTCCAAGGAAGAAGCATTTGTAATGGCTTCGCGAATCTTGTTACGTTCTTCAGGAGTAGTCAGAGGTTTATCCATAGCTGTACCCGCCGTTTGAGCCTTCACCTTCTTTGCTATTTCACGTGTCATTTCTTTGCCACGCTGACTTCTGAAGTATTCTATTGCTGCATTGCGTTCTTTCATTTTAATTTTTCGAAAATCAAGTAATTTGAGCTGTGGAAATCTATATATAACGTATTGTCGATACTGTGGCTTCGCCGATACTGGATTTTGAAGCAGGCACAAACTTGTAAGATTTTTCAGCTGTATCAGAGGCTCTAGATCAGCCAATTCTTGAATCATATTACCAGTTAACATCAACGTATGTAAATTTGGTATACAATGCTCTAATCCATCAGCAATTCGGACAATACGATTGTTATTGAAAAACAAGGTTTGTATTCTTTTCAAAAGTGGAAATCCATCCAGTTTACGTATATCATTATCAGAAAAGTCTATTGTGTCAAATTGATCCTATATAGAATAATAAATAAATATATCTATCATAATTATAACTATAGGGATTTATAATTTCATATTTTTAGTCCAACTATCATAATCATATCATAAATCTATCAAGGAAAGTATATTTTATATATTGAGAAATTTTAATGTAATATAAATATTGCTTCAAACTTCGTATCAATAATAATAAAAAATCAGTTGCAAGTATATCCATACGTAATATAAATATACATCATTTTGTTAAATTCAACTCAAATTTTTTGCAAAGCAAACAGTAAATAGCAACATTCTATTATGAATATAAATATATATAGCCACGTGTACTTACCAAAGTCGCCCCCAGATTCTCGATGGTGGGTATTTTGTATCCTGTAACATACAAACAGACCAAGAAAAATGTATAATAAACGCAATATATAAATGGCAATAAAGGATTTAGCACATTGGAAAACGCGGTTTCTCCCACAAACCTCTAAGATCTAATTCCCGATCACGCACAGGATTAATGTATTGCATCGATTGTTCTATCAATTCCGGTGTCAGTTTCACCATTGTGAGTGAATTACTGATTAAACTTTTACTTTATAATGAAGTTCTAATTCGTTTCGTGACCGGCTACCCAAGTATACACGTTTTGATTGTCGACACGAGACAAGTACAGATGATAGACGATATGAGAACATATGAGAACAAATAAGTTCAAACGATTGGATGCAGCCCAACAGAGAGACGAATGAGAGGTGTCGTGGCCCGCTTTTGAAATGATCCCTGAAAGCGATACGTCCTCTATGAACATTAAAAACAAGGACATAAACTACGAAGCCAAGTCCACGAATGTTCTCAGAGGATAACATATAACGTGCACAATTTCTGGTTTTGTTCCGTGCTATGTGCACGAAATGCCGATAGCACTGTAATGCTGTATAGTAAGATAAGTATATATAAGTTATAATACATATATAATTTAAATACAATAATTTAAATTACAAATGATGCTATCAGTATCGAATAATTTCATATAATATCTATTTTATTAATATATATTTAACATTGCGAATAACTGACAAAGATTTTAAAATAATAATAAAAGTGCAATATTTAGATTAAATTAATTATAATAATAATATTTTATCAATTTAAGTAAACTAAAAATTTTAAAAATCTAACAAATTATTTATGTTAAATATAATATAATTTATATAACTAATATAATTTAAATAATAAATTTTATTATAAGTTTTATTATAAGTTTAATTATAAGTTTTATTATTTATATATTTATAATAAGTTTTACTATTTTATTATTTATATATTTATAAGTTAAATAATAACTTTTATTTAATATTACCGAAATTATTAGATCAACATTTACATCTGAATATTCTGTAAAATTTTTATAAAAACATAATTTACAATGTAACATAATATTATATATATATATATATATATATATATATATTATATATATTAACTTTAATACGTATATTAACTTGAATAGTTCTTTTCAATATATAGTAATAGAGCATCTTAGGAATGCAAATTTAAAATTAAATAAATATAGAAAAAAAATTTTAATTTTTTATCAATTCTTTATTACAGTTAATTATTTATTTTGTTTAATAAAGAACATGCTATTAATTTTATTAATATTTTATATAATAATTTGTTTTGATTTTGTCTTAATTTTTCGTAGTCCATCTCTTTATGTAGTATAGCATATCAGAAACTTTGCTTTGACTATTATAAATCTAAGTTACTGATTAAGTAAATCATATATAATATTTTAAAATCATATATAATAAATCATATATAATATTTTAAAAAATTAGTGAATAAGTAAGTAAATATAAAGAAAAAATACAATGAAAAATATAAAAATGTATGTTCAATTAATTTTATTTTATTATAAGTTTATTATAAATTTTGTTACAAATATTTTATATATATACGTATAACATAAAAATTTCAATGAATCAATTTTGATGAATGATTTAGTATTATATTAGTTAAAGCAAAGTTATATTAAAATGACAATGGTCGTTACAAATTACGACTATAAATGAGCGTAAAATTACGCTTTATATATATATATATATATATATATATATATATATATATTACAACATATATATTACAAATACATATACAATATATATATATATATATATATATATATATATATATACAACAAATTAAACAAATTACATTTAATATATAACATTAATATGTAACATAATTTATATATTACAATCAAATTATTAAATATTCACATTACATATAATTACATGATTCGCAATGTGGATATTTAAAAAAAAATCAAGAATATCAAAAATATTATACATCAATCTTGATTGTATAGCATTGTAAAAATGAATGTGGAAATTTACTCTCATTAGAAGTTTTCTAGGTCTTCTTTGATAGAAACAAAATGACAAAAAATGATTCGATTAGTAAGTTCGCAGTGAATTATATACGACATAACGACATCACGAACATGACAGCGAATGTATGTAATTGTAGTTGTATAATAAGTATGTTTTGCTACAAGATGTAATAACCTTTTTCCTTTATCTCGGAAGATTGCAAGAGAAGATGAAAAAAGTTCTTATATTTACGTACAATTTTTCTATTTTACTCGATACGCATATGAAAACACATATTATTGAGGAGAATGAGCAACTGATACACAACCTTCAGGAAGCTATGTTTTAAAAAAAAGGTGGATAGATATGAACTTCGTGCACTGCGTATAATCTTTTTTTTATGATTTTATCCACATATTGTGATTCAGCATTTTAATATATTAATTTATGAATTTATAAATACGTGATATTACATGACTTTTAATATGCAAAATAGTAATATCTAATAAGAGTATTTGTTGAATACCTAATAAATTGCGCGATTATTAAATACATATGCAAAATGCAATCAAGCAACAGTATCCGATTTTCGTCTTATTGTATAGCACATATGAGTAATGAATGTTATACTACTTTAATATTTATTAAATAGCTATTTATCGCATTAAATTATCGCATTAATTTATGAATCATATCTATATAGGTATTAATTTAAATTACAATTAGTTGTAATAAATAAAGTAGGTAAACAATGGTAAATGAATATTCAACAAGCCTAATCATATCATCTTATAAATTTAATAAAAATATATATTTAATTTCTCTATATAGAGAAAAAGAAAAGATAATAGAAAGGGACAGAGAGAGAGAGAAGATTTATACATATAATGGATTGGATATAATATAATATTTGCAAAAATTAATAAAAAAGCATCAATATCTCGATCAATTATTAAATATTATTGATGATTATGACAATATTTAATTCATAAAATAAAAATAATCCAGAAAATAATTCAATGTAAAAAAATTAAAATAAAAGTAGTAAATTTAATATGTGCAAAATATCCTAGAGAAAGTTGCTGAAAAGATCAATTATCATTTTTAAACGCACATAAGGAAATTAAAATATTTCTAATAGAAAACATTTCACAGTTTTATTTACATATGGATTAAAGATAAGATGTTTCCATCATTGTTTTTATGAATAAACATTCATAAAAAAAATTCCAAATATCGATAATCTTAATAATAAATATTTTTAATAAATAATAAATATTTTTAAAGTGCTCACCGTTATAATTAAAGCAGAAATTAAGTTTCTTTAAAAATTTTTAATAAACTTAATAAAATGTGATTTTAAAAAAAAAGACACTATATAAAATTCTTTACAGTTTTCGAAAACTTGGTTTCTATTTCTATTTTGACAATACGCACTTCGAAAATATATTATATTATTAATATATTATTTTATTATTATTTTATATTATATTATTAAATTATATTATAATTTTATAATATTTTACCGGTATTTTACTTTTTCTTCTCTTTATTTACGTTTAAAAATAACCAATTAGCAGCAATTTTTTAATGGGACACAATATCGTGTATGTACTGCCTTTCTGTGAAGTAGTCAAATCATATTTATTTAAAGTAATACTTATCCTAAAGCTATTATAAAAGCTAATGTTAAAGTAGATAAATGTAGATGAAGTAAAGTAGATAACGTAAGTAAAAAAAGAAATTACAGAAAATTGATTTCGTCCATTCCGCAAAATATGTTACACAAACAACATTAAAAATGTCACGATTCCAATTTATGAATATCAGTTATTTAAAAAAATATATAATTATGCCAAACAGGAAATTCTTCTTTTTTTATTTCTTCTCAAATTCAAAATTAATGCATCGTCATATTTATTTCTTCTTCTGTATTTTTCCACCTTATTTTTACAGTTAGCGCCGTATTATCATCAGGACAAATTTCATTGCAAAAATATGGTTAATATGTAATATTATGCAACAAACAGTGATATTCAACCAGTCAAAATCAAAGATAAACTTGAAAAAAGACATTTTTCTGCAAATTATTACGACTTAATGTCGCAATTCATTTTCCAAACGTCTGCATGTGTGTTTTGCAAAATTATAGTACATGGTTTGGCTCGCATGACTGTTTCTAACAATTTTAACTTTTAGATAAAAAAAACATTTGCTTAACTATAACATGTTATATATGTGTTACATACAATTATCAATACATTTTTAATACCTTCGAAATTATTTAACTTACGACAATACAATAACAAAATAATAAAGCTATAATTATATGTATTTATTGAGAATATCTCTCTCTTTAAAAAAAAATTATTATTATTATTCATTAATATTCTTTTACAGACAAAATGTTTAGAAGGGTAAAAAATTGAATTGCATATAATTGGCGGAATAAATAATTTCCATTTAAATAAAATATAATTTTTAATGTCTGAGATTTAAGATAACGTTGGATATTGACAACACAAATTCATTAACTCGCATGATATATGACTTAATTCACAAGTATATACAATAGCTTTTATTCAAATTACTCAAGTGGAAATTGAAGATAAAAAGTTGGAAAATACCTACATCGCAATGTGCATTTACGATAATACTTGCAAATTGCTTCTACCTAATTCTTTTTATGTGACTCAGTAATATTAATTCTTGTTTTTATAAATTACTGACGTACAAAGATGTAAAAAATAATATCAAATTAATATTATTTTTTACATTTTTTATGTCAGTAAAATAATATCAAATTAATATTATTTTTAACATCTTTTTACGTCTAAGTAATCTTATCTATAAATAATAATAATAAGATTGCAAATATTATATAAAATAGATCTAAAAAGCAAAACGTAAATAAGAGATCTCTTCTACGTTTTAAAAAAAATGTATCTTTTTTCAAATAAATGTTGAAAACTAGATTGAAAATTAGGTTTTATAAATCTGTTTAAAAATGTAATAATTAAACAATTATTTAAATTTTTATTTAAAAAATAATTAAATGTTTTTTGTATATTATTTATAATTTGTTAATATTTTAATTAATCACTAATGTACATATAATAAACATGTATATAAGTACATAAACATATATATAATGTATATATAATAAACATATATAAGAAAAGACAAAATAAAATCAATAGTAAAAATCAATATCATGACATGAAAAAATCAATAAACAGATGACAGATCGACACGCGTGTATATATGTATACAGGGTATTCAATTTAAAACTTTCCACCCGTTTCTTTCTCATAAATCACTATTTTTGC